CATTGGCCTGGATAACTTGAAAATCTACAAGCTATCATATATTTCGATAAGGGATATTTATTGACCCCATTTTCCAAATTTTGCTCCAGGAACATCTTCTTGTGTTAAAAACATTCTTTTTTAATTTTACTTTACCATATTTATGTTTACATGAGGATTAGGCAGTGTTTGTCCCTACCGAACTACTAGCGCTGCTAGTGAGTGATTTTTCGTACTTCAGGAAAAAGGTCCATTCAATTGGACTTTAATTTGATAACATTCACGTTGCACTCAAAATTAAAAATGAAATAAATTTGTATCAAACTTCAGTTAAGTTAAAATTTTATATTACACTATCGAAACTTAATAATGGAAATTATCTCCGTGAATGCATTAGAGGAGAAGATGGGAATGTGGCCCCCATTTTGTTTTTGGGGTCTAGTGTAAAAAGTAAAAGAAACAATTCTAAATAATACATCCCCGGGTTTCGTATCTATTTGGCTATATATGACTCACTATGGAAATGAAAAAAATGCGACAGAATATTCAAGTGAGGGTTATATGGCAACCTCTGGGCCAAATTAAATGTATTGAAGTCAACGATAAAAATCGCAGATGTAATATTCGCCTTCAGGGCCTGCACAGTCAGTATGAGCCCATAAGTTATACAGCTCTGACATTGGATCCACTCTTCTCCACGTCTGTCGCTGGAATAATTGGCGTCACAAAATATAAAAAGTATATCTGTGTCCTCAGGTGTTATCGATGGATGGACAATACCTATGTTAGCATTATCAGACGGGTCGGTTTCTATGACTTCTTCCACTTCTGCGCCCACATCTGCGGCAACGTCAACGTCCGCTTCCACGTTTACGACTTTCTACTAAGTGCAAAGATTTGCACAATCGATTTTTGTAGGGTGGAGACGTTATCACTTTGTTTTTGTAGCTCTTTTCCTCGGTTTGATGCCTTAGCTTTAACCCCAGGCGGCACTGAATGTCTTGCGGCAAAACAAAATTGCTTTCTGACACGTTAACTGCAAAATTTCTTTCCGAAATGTCTAGGTTAGAATGAACGCTATTTTGTGGATCATTGGAAGAGAAGTTAAAATAAAATGTATTGAAATTTTTCTAGTAATATTGTGAAATCAGTATTATCGTTTCTGAACAAGAATCTCTAACCACTCTGTCTTTGTGTCCAAAAATAAGTATAATTTAACAGGTATAAACCGTTTTATGTGTGAAGGAATCCTTGTTGGTGATAATATAATATTATGGTCTTTTTTGAAAGGTACTTCATTAAAATTTGCTTGGTTGAACGCGAGAAAATTCCCAATATACAAATATATAAGTACTTACGAAAAAGTGATAACGGACAAAGGATTTGCATTCTCCACAGGGTTTGGATTTTTCGAGACGCCTACCCCTGTATCCATGGTAAAGTTGTATCACAGTATTTATTAAGTACACTTCAGAAAATACTAACGAGGCAAACAACGGTCCCTAACAAAACGACTTTAACAGAACTCGAACCTCGAAATGATCATAATGATCGGTATTTGTCGGCTTTAAACGTTGCGATGTTGCCTTATTGTAGCGTTATGCTGAAGTTTTGCACCCTGGAGAGATTTAAAAAATCGATTTGTTTTGGTTTGACGATACGACGATTGCCCGAAGTTACGCAATACCAATACTTTTGCTGTCATCTACGAACTCGCGTGAAGTAGGTATTGTTTATGCTAAATATTATTAGGTTAAATACGCGTGCCGACATGTAAACGTATACAATAACGAAATTGACAGATCTAAAATGACAGTTCTAATCAGGACAGAAATCTCGGAGTACTTGGATTAATTTTCTACTTTGTATTTTTACATATTTTTTGACTGGGATTAAGTTGATTCGAGCACATTTTTTATTTTTTGACACGTAACAAATCAATCATAAAGTGAATTCTAACAACAAAGTGAATAAAGTGAATTTGTAACAACACATTTTTTTAGCTCTATTCTAAACTTTAATAAGTAGGTATAAAAACGACGAGATGCTTCGATTTGATGAAAGCCGTATGTTTAAAAAAAGCCGAATTTGTTCAAATCTGCTTCCCTATAGGGTAACATTTGAATAACATGGTGTGCTTTTGAAGAAAAGGTTCAACGTGGAAAATAGAGATTATAGAGAATCAATTCATTATTGATATAATCATATATAGGTATTGTAACCGAACACTTAAACCTTATGTTACAGTAACAAAACTTAAAATGACAGTTTTCATTTCAGTCAGACTTTTATTTTGGCAACAAAAATAATGGCATTGTACTTAAAATTAAGCGTGAAATAAACTAATGTCAAACTAAGTCAAATACCAAGTAAAATTAAAATAGTTATTTTCAATGAGCCTTTTTCCTGAGAATAGTACAGCGAATGTGTCACGAGAGGCAGCGCTAGTAGTAGGGACAAACAGAGTGCATTGGGAGATAGTGCTTTGTGAATGTTGTCTGGGCGGTTGATTGGAAATTGAATGTCCTCATTTGCACTCTGTTAATAATATTCAAGATTTAAGTGAATATGTGAAGCGTAAAACTCTAGTTTTGGCAAGTAACGGTATGACATTTAACTGAAGTTATTCTCACTCTCATCAAATGCAGATGTACGAGAATATGTTTGTGCCATATTCACTCTCATCAAATGCAGATGTACGAGAATATGTTTGTGTCATATTGATTGTACTGTGATTTTGTAATTTGGTCCCAAGATACATTCTCCTTGACTTTGATTTTTGGAACAAAAATAGTAAAATTGCTATTCAATTTCATTCGAAAGTATCAATGCCAGAATTTTTGGGCAGACACTTCACAAAAAAAAGGAACTGTTAGACGGGACACAAGTGTTTAGGTACGAAAATAACAACTATGAAACCGAGTGGTATTTTCATTACTCGTTAACAGTTAAAACAGACTTTAAAAACATAGTAGAATGATACAACCAGTAGGCTCTTTTACCACGTGATCCGCCCTAGTTGCCGGAGACCTTCAACCGCTCTTAAGCTGGGCCGCACTGCAGGAAGGTTGGTAGGATGCTGGATGGTAGATAGCTGCCTAGCGAACATCCTGCTGTTTACAAACGTTAGTAACAGAACGACGGTAGCCGCAGTGGCCCCCCACTACCATTCAACCTCCAGAAACCATCCGAAGGTACGCCAGTCGTCTATCCAACCTGATCAGTCGTGTTTGATATTCCAGCCGGGTAGCCTAGCTATGGAGAGTATTAAGTTCTGTGTTCAAAAGAAGGGCAATTTGGGACCCAGCACACCCATTAAGAAAAAAATTGCACTTCTGGAAAAAGAAATCAGCTCCGAAGAATATCCGGATTTGTGTCTCTTCAAGAGTTTACTTCCATATATGCGGGAATTAAGCCCAGGCCATAGGCAGAGTCCGTGGGAAAATTCAAGACCTTATCTTGAATGAATATGAAAACAGAAATTTGTCTGTGGGAGCACCTCAATTTGGCCACGAGTATGATAGTCGTACCCAGTACTCATCATTGTCAAATTCTACTGATGTTTCAGGCTTTTCGATGGAACAACAATCATTAGATTCGTATGGTGGAACATCCACAACTCAACAGCAAGATCCTTTTTTTCATAATATGTAACTATTTTCTTTAACGTTTATGTTCTAATGTTTAGTTTCAATGATTTTCTTTATTTATTAAAGAAAGGCATGATTGTTACTTTTCCGCTGTCAGTTAGATACTGGCTTCATTTCACTGCGTCCAGGATGCATTGCCCCTCCGCTATCCACCTTTACCATTCACCCTCCAAGCGACCATTTAGCATCCTGCAGTGCAGCCCCGGGTTTAGGATGAGATTCTCATCCAACGATGTAGTATCGAAGGATTCGACGGTACCACGGGCATCGGATTAGTTATAATAAACGGTAGGAAATTGATATTGTGTTTAGTTAATTCGCTGTTGTTGTTATTGTTTTTAGTTTTTGTGGTTGGTTATAAGTAACTTACCACAAAATCTTTCCGTAAATTTCGTTTTTATATGAGCGCACTCCTATGGTAAACGAATAAAATTCGCTCTGCACTTCGTTTCGAGGTCACAAAGAACTTTGTAAATTTATGAATGAAAGTAGTGGGAATGGACTTCTTGGTTCATTTTTACTATGTTGAAAGTATGAAGTATTATCGAGAAGACAATGGTTTGTGGGCACTTTAAAAACAATATTCTCATGTAGCGGCGTAGCATAGAATGGGGTTGAGAAAAAAAATTAATGATCCTCAATGCCAATTCTGGGAATAATGAAATCCTCAAAATTTCACAAACTTTAAATTTTTTCATAGAAGAGTAAATTGGGTAACAGGATCATTTAAAAAAACAATTGATTATTTGCCAAAGTTTCGAATTCAATTAAATTCTTCTTCAGGTCTCGAAAAGAAGGTTCTTCGTGTTTTAAATGTAACTATTTTAAAAACATCAGACATATTAGATACGTAATAAAAATATGAGAATTACTGAAATGATAACATTTTCGAAACAACAACACCACATACACAAAGACACACTAATTTTAGTGGTGTATTTCCTAAAATATTTTCTGACGAAACAGTTTAAAGTTACAGCCAAACAGAATGATTTGCCATGGAGATATTTTCAATCCAACCATTCACGGATGGAGGTTAAATAACGTCTGGTGCACGGAGCATTGCACATTATATTGATTTGTTGTGAAATAGAGTTATCGGAAAATATTTATTTCATTCATTAATGTGTTGATCCCACTCACTCCGGCTGGTTGGCTGGCCTTGGTCATGTTTCACGGCCTGAACCACTGTGCATGCTGATTTTGGCGAGTGCATTGGCTTGGGGTGTGGGGGTTGAGCAAACCAGCCATCAGATACTTGCTTCCACGTAGCCCCGCTGGATACGAGAATGACAGAATCACTTGTGTTTCTGTTCTTCCCTAACTGAATGGCATCCAAACGATGGCTTGATCCTAAGATGTGTGTATCCGTGCCGAGAGGATGAATGACACTGAGCCTATCAGCTGTCTCTTCGGAACCTTCGAGATACCGGGCGCCCTCTAGTCGTAGCATCGCCTTGTCACGGTAACGCGGGGCTCTGCCGTGATTGATCTTCTTTCCCTAGCTACTCGTGGGACTTTTATGGACAGAGTAAACTTAAAAATTCTTTGACGCTGAATCTACAGAGGAGATGGATGTCGAGCTTACGACTCCAACTGACCTCCCTGTAAATTTAGATCAGGAGCGAGAGCTTCTCAACTCTCCAACTCCTGATCCAATAACTGAACCTAAAAAATAGGTATGGTGGTGCAGCCAGGAAACGACTGAGTCGTTTCTTCAAGAGTGGGTTACCTTATGAAACCGCCTTGCACCAAATTCTTGAGCGGCGTACGCAGAATCTGTCTCAGATGGAGGAACAAACCCCCCATAGGCAGGTTAGCAAACGTTTGCTCTCAAGTGATGATTCACCAAAACCAGAGGCGAAAAATCCCTGCACGGTTGAATCTAAGGCATCCTCAAGGTGTAGCTGACGTGCAAAAACCCTCATATGGGAAGATTGTCGCGGGTATCCAGGTGGGAATCTTGCACCTTGACTATCCGACTACCTCATTAACGATGAAACAGCAGAGCATATACTTTGTGCCTGCCCCTGCTGGGGACCGAATCAGATTTTTAGAGTTCGGCAGAGCCGTACTCTCACCATCTGATCTGAAAGACTACTCACCATACAAACCAATCGGCTTCGTTAAGAAGCTGGGTTTATTTGGTCGAGAGTCGAATAGACCCACTCACTTTGGACTTAACCTAACCTAAGCACCCGATGTTAAAAACCCCCTACGTATTATTCTCATTTCTGGAGAAACGTTGAATTTAAGTAATTTAGGATTTCTGATAAATGTTTTCATGATCCTGCAGCATATTTAATGAGCCCTCATACGACTATTACGTATTTGAGCCCTAGGGGTAAGAGAACTTGATAAGATAACATTCTAATAATTCACTTTAGTATTGAATAATTCCCTCTGTATAGTTCTAATCGCTAATCAGCAACTGTCGATAAAACATTTCCCAACATTTGTAATAGATAAAAAACGATGGTAGTTGAATCAATCACCTCGATAATATATACAGGAAAGTTTTTGAATCAAGAGTAGCATCGCGCGATTCTCACTTTTACAATAAAGGTGGCTCAAAAAACAAATGAGAACATCATCATAGTAAATCCGAGATAAATTCGATACTATTGAAAAAACTGAAGTTTATGTTTATTCTCCAGGAATAGTTAATAAAACATTCATTTCTTACCTACACTAGTGTTAGTTATCATTATTTTAAATCCAAAATCCCTGACAGACTGATACTTGAGATAAAAAGTCATTTGAAAATCTAAATTGACTAAAAACTATGTAATAATATTTTTACATAAACGAAATTAAATAACAAAAAGAAATGAAAAGTAGCTACCACCGCTAGCTGGCATCGATCGTTTTTGCGGTCGGTGCTAGCAAAGCTATCGAGTCAAAATTTCATTTTATAATAATGATAATAATAATGCATTTATTCACCATATCAAACCATCATGAATAGAAAATTTTACCACAAATTTACATTGGTAAATAAAGGAAGATCCACAGA